CTGATTGGCATTTAGAAGAATGAGAGGCGATCTCATTGTATCATATAGGATTCTTAAGTAGCTTGACAGGGTAAATGCTGAGAGGATGTTTCCCCTCATGGGAGAGTCTAGGACCAGAGCACATAATCTCAGGATAAATGGGCATCAATTTGAGAATGAGATGCGGAGGAATTTCTTCTCTAAGAAGGTTCTGAGTCTTTGTAACCCTTGCCAGAGAGAGATGTGGGTGCAGGACCCTTGTGTATATTTAAGGCTGAGACAGATAAATCTTTGATCAGTAGGAGGATAAAGGATTATGGGGGAAAGGCAAGAAAACAAGCATGAGATATCTCAGAGCAGCCATGATCCTGTTGAATGGCAGAGGAGGCTCAAGGAGCCGAACAGCCTTATGCTTCTGCAACTGGCAAAACACTGAAGGTGATAAACATCAGTCATTGCTCACTCTGCTCCTAAACCTCACTGCAGTCTATTGTAATTATTTTCCCTGCAAATTGTAGTGTAAGTTTGTCACTTGAGGATGGAGGAGCCCAACAGCCAACAGTACCGAATGTTGTAGTGTTATCAGCACAAAAGATGTCTTTTTGTAAAGTTCTGTGTACATAGGAAAATCCATCTTTGGAACAGAAGTAGGCCATTTGGACCCTTGAGCCTGCTGTACCATTCAGTTGGATGATGGCTGATTTGTTTGTGTTTTGAATTTCACATTCACAACTATCCCTGTTAACAAGGTGTAGAGCTGGATGAACACAACAGGCCAAGCAGCATCAGAGGAGCAGGAAAGCTGATGTTTCGGGCCTAGACCCTCCTGCCTCTTTGTAGGTTATGTGGAACAATCCCTCTTCCTTAGCTACACTAGCCCTAAACCCCACCCATTCCTCCGTTACATTGATGACTGTATCAGCGTCGCCTCGTGCTCCCACGAGGAGCTCAAACAGTTCATCCACTTCACCAACACCTTCCACCCCAACCTTAAGTTCACCTGGACCATCTCTGATATTTCTCTCTCCTTCCTGGACCTCTGTTTCCATCTCTGGCAACCACCTGGATACCAATATCCATTTCAAGCCCACTGACTCCCACAGCTACCTAGAATACACCTCCTCCCACCCACCTTCCTGCAAAAATGCCATCCCCTATTCCCAATTCCTTCGCCTCCGCCGCATCTGCTCCCAGGATGAGGCATTCCACTCCCGAACATCTCAGATGTCCTTGTTTTTCAAGGACCGCAACTTCCCCCACTCAGTGGTCAAGAACGCCCTTGACTGTGTCTCCCGCATTTCCCGCAACTCATCCCTCACACCCCCTCCCCGCAATAACAATCAAAACAGAATTCCCCTCGTCCTCACATACCACCCCACCAACCTCCGGATCCAACGCATCACCCTCCGACACTTCCGGCATCTGCAATCCGACCCCACCACCAAAGGCATTTTTCCCTCCCCACCCTTATCTGCTTTCCGGAGGGACCACTCTCTCCGTGACTCCCTTGTCCGCTCCACACTCCCCTCCAGCCCCACCACCCCCAGCACTTTTCCCTGCAACCGCAGGAAGTGCTACACCTGCCCCTACACCTCCCCCCTCACCCCCATCCCAGGCCCCAAGAACACTTTCCACATCAAGCAGATGTTCACCTGCACATCTGCTAATGTGGTATACTGCATCCGCTGTTCCCGTTGTGGCCTCCTCTACATTGGGGAAACCAAGCGGAGGCTTGGGGACCGCTTTGCGGAACACGTACGCTCGGTTCGCACTAAACAACTCCACCTCCCAGTCGTGAACCGTTTCAACTCCCCCTCCCATTCCTCAGACGACATGTCCATCCTGGGCCTCCTGCAGTGCCACAACGATGCCATCCAAAGGTTGCAGGAACAGCACCTCATATTTCGCTTGGGAACCCTGCAGCCCAATGGTATCAATGTGGACTTCACAAGCTTCAAAATCTCCTCTTCCCCCTACCTCATCCCAAAACCAGCCCAGCTTGTCCCCGCCTCCCTAACCTGTCCTTCCTCCCACCTATCCCCTCCTCCCACCTCAAGCCCCACCCCTATCTCCTACCTACTAGCCTCATCCTGCCGCCTTGACCTGTCCGTCCTCCCTGGACTGACGTATCCCCTCCCTAACTCCCCACCTACACTCACCTTTACTGGCTCCATCCCGCCTCTTTGACCTGTCTGTCTCCTCTCCACCTACCTTCTCCTCTATCCATCTTCTATCCGCCATCCCCTCTCTCCCTATTTATTTCAGAACCCCCTTTCCCTCCCCCAGTTCTGAAGAAGGGTCTAGGCCCAAAACGTTAGCTTTCCTGCTCCTCTGATGCTGCTTGGCCTGCTGTGTTCATTCAGCTCTACACCTTGTTACCTCAGATTCTCCAGCATCTGCAGTTCCTACTATCTCTATCCCTGTTAACGTTTGATTTCCCTGCCTAACAAGAAACTATCTACTGCTGCCTTAAAAATATTCAAAGACCAAAGAAAAATATTCAAACTGTATCGAAGATCATCCTAGTGAACCTTCTCTGAACTGCCTCCAATGACATAATATCTTTCTGTTAATAAGGAAACCACCATCTTCTGAGTTTCAAAGTCACACAACTGTTTGAGAGAAAAAAACTCCTTATCTCTGTCCTGAAAGTGCACCTCCTAATATTTTAAACAATGTCCCTTTATTCTGCACTCATCCATAAGAGGAAACACCCTTTCTATGTCCGCCTTGTCAAGACCATTCAGGACTGTATAAAGTTGAATCAAATCACCTCTCATTCTTCTAAGTTTCAATGGAAAAAGGCCCAATCTATCCAATATTTCCTCACATGAGAGAACATTCCAGGTACCAATCTAATAAACCTCCTCTGAATCACTTCCAATACAATTATGTCCTTCTTTAAAATGGGAAACCAAAACCACACACAGAATTCAAGATATGGTCTCAACAATGATTTAAGAATAATATCCCAACTTTTATGTTGAACTCTGCATTCCATAAGACGTCTTAATTATTTTCTGTGACAGTATCCTGACCTTTTGTAGATCATGCATTAGAACGCCTAGGTCCCTCTGCACTTTAGAATTCTGCAACCATTCTCCGTTTAAACCATACTGTCCTTTATTCTGTTTGCCAAAACAAACTTTCCAACTTTATACTGCCAGATTTTTGCTGACTCCTCAACCTGTCTATATCTTTCTGCACCCTCTTTATGTCGTCTTCACAACACACTTAGCTACCTATCTTTGTGTCATCTGCAAATTTAGCTCCCATACGTTTGCTCCCTTGAGCCAAGTCATAGCTATAAATTGTAAAAAACTGAGGCTCAGTACAGACCTCTATGGGACTCCACTCATCACATCCTGCTAATCAGAAAAAAATTTCTGTTTTCTATCAGCCAGCTATCTATCCATACTAATGTGTTATCCTTGTACATCATGAACTTCTGCTGTGCATAATAACCTTTTATGTGGCTCCTTGTGTGAAGATGGCAGCAAAATATTTATTAGATTCATCCACTATTTCCTTATTTTCTATTATTAGCTCCCCTACTACCAATATCCTGAGGATTACCATTGACCATGGATAGTGGCTTCTCCTTCTGGAGTTTGTCTTTGTGGAAGAAATATACTTATTGTGAATTATCTGAAAGAGTACCTTAAATATCTGCCACTGCTTCTCTGTTGATCTATCTTCTAGCCTAATATTGCAGTTCACTGCAGCTAATTTTCACGCCACATAATTTTCTTTATTTAAGTTTAAATACTAGTCTTGGACTCCTCTTCTCCCTTTGAAGCTGAATGTGAAATTAAATCATATCGCTGCTACTGAGTGGTGTCTTTACTCTAAAATTATTATTTAATCCTTTCACATTACACAGTGGTCTAGTATAACCTCCTGTCTGTTTGGTTCCAGAATATTCTGCTCTGAGAAACTATCTTAAAAACATCCTTTGAACTTCTAGTCCAAGTGACGATTGCCCTTCTGAATTTTCCAGAAGGGTCTAGGCCCGAAACGTCAGCCTTCCTGCTCCTCTGATGCTGCTTGATCTGCTGTGTTCATCCAGCTCTACACCTTGTTATCTTATAATGAAAATGGGACTCAGTTAGGCAAAATTCAATTCAGTTAAAACTATTGACAACAATCAGAGAAAGCTAACTTTGATCAACTCAGAAGTATTTGGTTTGGATCAAAACTCAGAAACTAGAATTGAAAGTGACAGTGTTCAACCAATAAGATAAACAGTTCCCATGTTTCACTCAGTGATGTTTTGTATTGCAATTAAAAACTATTAGAAATTTACTTTAAATTCAAAATTTTTAACATTACACCCAATGATCTATCAGGAAATGCTGCATGTAACTAATGCACTGGAACAAACTCTTCAATGAGCTAAAGGTAAAGTTGGACACTTTAAGAACACACCCTGCAAATATAATGAATGTGCTTAGCAAAGATAATTTTTTTGAGCTACAGTTTGTATTCGGAGTGACAGATTTAGACCAAAGATTTAGTCTTCACACAAATTTGTTCTAATGTTCAATGATTGTTCCCTGCATCAAACTGGTCTGTGTTTAGTCTAATTAGCTTAAGACGCCAACAGTGTTTTAGTCCAGAAACATTCAGTGTTGATTGATGTAGTTTTCAAACATATATTTGAATGTTAGCTATTTGGTAAATCCAATATTACACACAAGTTAATTCGCAGTCCACACAATAAAGCGCTGATTTGCAGCACTTGTGGAAGCTGCCAAACAAGAGTGGGTGTGTTTATTACACAAAGCTCTTTATGACATATATATCAAGCATTTGATTCTGGCTTCTGAGATCCATAGCCAAATATTTTAAAATAAGGAAGGGCCAAATGCCGGCAAAGCAGTATAAGTGCTTTGTTCTGTGTTTTTAAAGTCTAGGTGTGTCAGATCAGGTACTGCCTAGCAGAGTGGCATTTAGAAGCTGATTGACTTTCTACGGTGCACGTGAAATCAGAACACTTTCTTTTTCTTTCTGTTCTGCAGTTTCGAGGGAATATTCAAGATATCCTGCCTAGCCTTCCTGCTCAGGATGACCACTTTCTCCTACGATGGCTCAGAGGTACTTTGATATACAGTTCTGTAGAAATCGCTAGTTCTGTTAATTTCTTCCCAATTCCCATTTTTCCAGTTTCACCTTTTACCAGGTGCCTTTTGCCTTTTCAACTTTTCAGCTTTTAGTTGTCAAGCAAGTGTTCAAGAAGATCAGATCATGCAGAAGTATACCATGAGGATGTTGTCTCCTATGCTGGCAGATGGGTAACCTAATAAAATTAAGTAATGCTCAGAACTAAGAATAATCTGTAGCCACACAAATTGAAAAAACAGACTTAAAGTGAAGATCAAGTGCACATTAAACAGCAGGGGTCCTTGGTTCACAATCCGAAATTCTAGACATCTGAAAACATTGCTTTGTTATGTTGATGCTAAGAAATCTAAATGAGTCATCCCTTTTCTAGCCCAACCATTTTATTCCATTTTAAGCAAACTTGCTCAAATGTTTGTTTATTGTTAATGTTTCAGCAACTTTGGTGGTTTGACCTTAAACTTCATGAACTGTGCTTCTTTGACAATTGGTCTGTTTCACTGTGAGGTTTTCATTAGCATTGTGGATTGTTCAGAAAATTCTTTTAGAATTGTTTAAACCCTTGTGGTTGGACATCGCTGAATCATTTGTGTGGGTTCACTTAGCTGTTTACAATACAATGATAGGAGACTTGCTTATTCTGCATTCCTGTTATCATACAGTGATTTTGCAAATTGCGTCAATGTCATCAACATGCAGATTTTACCTCAACTATTGTGGTTTTAGCAATTAAATAGGACAATTTTCCTGCCAGTTATTGAGCATTACAAAAGCTGAGTATAGACACATGATCCAAGTCATGTTTCCAGAATATAAGCCTGTAATTTGAAGAATATGCAAAATTCCACAGCACCAGCAAAGACCCAAATATAGTTTTGGAATTTTGATATGAGTTCATAGAATCCCTACAGTGTGAAAACAGGCCCTTCGGTCCAACAAGTCACACTGACCCTCCAAAGCATCCCACCCAGACCCATCCCCCATAACCCACCTAATCAACACTATGAACAATTTAGCACGGCCAATCCACCTAGCCTGCACATCTTTGGACAGTGGGAGGAAACCCACGCAGACACGGGGAGAATGTACAAACTCCACACAGACAGTCACCCGAGGGTGGAATCGAACCCGGGTCCCTGGCGCTGGGAGGCAGCAATGCTAACCACTGTGCCACATTAGGTGGAGTTTCACTTTATCTCACAAAGTAGTCCCCAGTTAACCCTGGAAAGATGATTGCATGTATTGAAATAGAAGCACTTACAGATGTATAACAATGCTAAGTTAAATCTTGTTTTTTTATGGAAAATATAATTCCCATTATTACATAGGATGCTTCGGGTTCTCCCGAGGTTGTGAAAGATGCTAAATAAATGCATGTTTTTCTTTCTTAAATAGTCATGAAAATGTGGTTGTGTGGATTTTTATATATTAAAATGGCTAATCTGTAGATCATTGTGCAATGTTTTGAATTGCAATGTTATGCAATGAAAAGAATACAACCCTTAAGAATTCACCAGTAGTTCATTGGATTTTCATTGTGAGTTTGAAATAATTTCCATTTATGTTGGACATTAAAGGCATAGGACCAAGAATTACATCTGAAAGCTAGTTGCTATTGACTTGGCAAAATATATATAAATGGACAAGTTAATGCAATTTCATTTCTGAAAGTAACCTAAAAAAATAAAAAATGTTGGATATCCGAATTGGGTATAAAATCAATTTTGATATGTAATACATGTGGCGTTCAATTTTAACTCTGCCCGCACAATAGAAAAAGAGAAGATGGGACAGTTAAAACAAGTTAGAGTCTTCTCCCTCATCTCCAGTTGCCACCCCTTTCACTGCTGGAAGGTCTGAGTCTGATGAGGCCTTTCGGTTCTCAAGATGATTTTAACTTGTAATCATCACCGTGCTAAACCCCAATCAATAAAATCGGGGCAGGGCATGGATTGTGACCAGCAGTTACCTTGTTACTAGGTACTATCCCTTTAGGCCATCAATGGCAGGCTCCTCTCATACTAAATCCAGTTTCTTCCCATTGACCTCTTCAGCATTTCTTCTGATTTTTTTGAGAATCCATGCTGCAACACAGTAATGAAATCCAAAAATTAAAATGGCTCTGGTCTCATGGCACCACTGTCATTTAGCAGCACAGTGGTTAGTGCTGCTGCCTCACAGCATCAGGGACTTGGGTTTGATTCCACCCTCAGGTGACTGTGTGAAGTTGGCACATTCTCCCCGTGTCTGCATGGGTTTCCTCTGGGTGCTCATGTTTCCTCCCACAGTCCAAAGATGTGCTGATTAGGTGCTTTGGCCATGTTAAATTGCCCATAGTGTCCAGGGATGTGTAGACTGAGTGGATTAGCCATGGTAAAAATGCACGATTACAGAGACAGGGGGTTGGGTCTGGGTGGAATGTTCTTCGAAGGGTCACTGTGGACTTGATGGGCTGACTGGCCTGCTTCCACACTGTAGGGATTCTATGATTTGTGTTTCCCATCTGCCTTGATCCCAGCACTTGTGCCCAAGTTAAAAGTCTCGTTATGTTATGCACTTCCTGTACGTGTCACAATCAATTACCGTCATTTGCCTCTCTGAAAGAGATTGTGTGACTTTGGTGGTTAGGGCAGATTTTTAACAGTTAAAAATTAGAATGGAAATTCCTAGACTTTCCTAAACTTGATCTCTTCACTAGGAGTCAGCATCATGAATTGTTTGGAGAGTAGGGGATGTACAACCAATGAGCTGGCATTATCTGCGGTTAGGGTGAGCACTGATAGAACTGATAGGCATTTCTAACTTGTTTTGTACAATTCATATCTCACTTACTAAGAGAAAAAAGATCACTGATCATAAACTCTCAAGAACAAAATGCTTCCTGTGTTGTATCTTGTCCTCTATCAGCAGTGTACTCTAACTTTTAGTTGAAGGATATGTCTGCATAAATTCAGTTATGTGACTAATGTTTTTGTGAATCTATCACAAGAATATGCACATTTATTTCTATTCATAGCATTTGCAAATTAATAAAGCAATTTGAAAAGAAAATACTTACAGAAGTCCAAAATCATCAAGTCATTGACAATCTTTTTGCTTAGCATTTGATTCAATATTATGTATAATATTTTTAAACTAGATAGTGAGCATCAGACTTTGGATGCTATGGCCAAGATTTTATATTTTGGAGTTAATGTATGATGGTGAGCATATTTGCCATATAACATACTATATAACAAAGTTTCTAAAGGGATTGGATAGTGGAATACTTCTTCAGTTGCTTCTGACTCTCTGGTAGGAATTTCAATAAAGTTATCTGATCCATTCCATAGTTGTTTTCTGGACACCCTTAAAACAGGTGACTTTTGCTAGTGTATATAGTGTTTGCTAGTGTAAGATGTCACACGGAATAACCAAGCCCCCATATTTTTATCATATAATATTATTTGGACTAAGCATTGGATTTATTATCTGTAGCAAATAGTCATTTGATTGCCCAGAATTTGAGTATTGCTAAAAATATGACAAAACGTGACTTTTCAGCAATGTTCTTTAGTAAATCTGCTACAATTCCTTGGGCACTTACTTGAGAGCAAGAAATTGGAAAATCTGGTAGAAGCAGGTAAAATGGAGAGCAGCAGAGTTAGAAGGAGACAAAGGAGGAAATGCTCCGACAGCTGAAAAAAAAACGGATCAGGTATAAAGTTTTAGAACAGCACCAAGATGTTGGCTGCCAACAAAGACTATGAAAGGTGGCGAGCCATTATTCTGATGATGTAGAACATGGCACCAAAGAAGAAGCATAAACCTGTCCTTACTGTTGGAGTACACCCCTCCTCTTTATGCCCTTGGGTTATGTCCAGTGGCGTGTGTGTGCTACTGAGTGAACAGTCAAGATTTCTTCCTTTTTAGTGCCTTCCTCAAACTTAAGCAGGAACCTCGCCACACCATGCTTTTAATTGGAATACCTACTTAGTTCTTACAGTGGACCCACAGCTCCCTCCTTGTTTAGTTCGTCTGTTTTGTATTGTTAGTACAGACAAGCTGCTACTCCTGCATATTTTTTATGATGTTGTTTAAAAGGATGGGACTGTAGGACTGACAGGGCTTGCCACTTGTGTCAGTGCTCCTTGACATTGTTTGATGTCGCCTTATTTTTGTTAGCATGCCAATATGATGGATGTTAACTACAATTCTCCAGAGCATTATGCAGTTTAGTTCAATCCAGCAATGTGTGGAGGGCGCTCCCAGTTACTGAATAAACCCAATAAGTGCCAGTGTGGAGCTGGAGGAACACAGCAGGTCAGGCAGCATCAGAGGAGCAGGAAAGTTGATGTTTCGGGTTGGGAAGGGTCTTGACCTGAAACGTCAATTTTCCTGCTCCTCTGATACTGTCTGGCCTGCTGTGTTCCTCCAGCTCCACACGGTGTTATCTCTGACTCTAGCATCTGCAGCTCTTGCTATCTTTAAGTGTCAGTGGTGTCTCTGTCTCTTTCCATGAGCAATTCCCCAGCACCCACATTGTGTAACAGTGGGTACCATCTAGCAAATGGATTTTCCTCACAATTTGCTTTTGCTGAGAAGATCAAGCCTTTGTGAAATTGTGTTGTTTCTGAAACAAGCAAGCTTGAATTTTCTGAATACAGCAATTCCAATTTTTCAACTTTCTTTTTCACCGTCCTTACCACCTGGATTCATAATTATTAGTTTTTGAAGTGCCAGCATTACTGACCCAGTTATGGGCCATCAGTCTAAATCAGCTACAAAATGCTTGTTGTGTGTCAGCTGCTCTATTATTATCAGATGAGATGAAAATAGACTTGTCTTTATATAGCATCTTTGGTAACCACCTGACACCTCAAAGGACTTTACAGCTGATGAAGTGCGTTTGAACTATTGTAATGTAGGAAACAAAACAGGCAAATTATGCACAGCAAGCTCCCACAAACAGAAATATGATAATGACCAGCGAATTTGTTTGTGGGATGTTTATTGAGGGATAGATATTAGAAAGGACACCAGGAACTCCCACGCTTTTCTTCAAAATGAGTCCACTTTGATCCACTGAAGGGGTCACAGTTTAAGACCTTACTTGAAGGGTGATACCTCTGACAATGCAACATTCCAACATTACTACACTGGATGGTCAGCATTGTTTGCTGTGCATACATCTTAGAGTATAACTTGAATGGAGAGTGTCACCAACCAAGCCAAAGTGGACACTTATTAACCCTTCTGTTGTGCATGGTAGTAACAGTGAGGGCTGGAGGCTGGGTGATGAAACAGTCTTGGATGTCGCCTGCCAGATTATGCGTTAAGACACTGAAAAGGTTAGGATCAAACTAACTGGGGCTACATCTGATTCCATTAGGTTGAGAAAACATTTAATAAGGCATATGCGATCTTGAGCTTTATAAATGGAATACAAAAACGAACAGTGAACCTGTATAAGTACCATTTTGACCTCCAAAGAAGTTTTGTTATTAACTCCACTGCACTTTAAGAAGGGTGTGGAGATGGTGCAGAAAAGATTTAGGAGAGATAGTAAGAACTGCCGATGCTGGAGTCTGAGATAACACAGTGTGGAGCTGGAGGAACACAGCAGGCCAGGCAGCATCAGAGGAGCAGGAAAGCTGATGTTTCGGGTAGAGTTGCTCCAGGGAAGTAGGACTGGAGGCATGTGAACAGAAAGCAGAGCTGGGGCAGTTTTTCTGAGAACAGCGAAGTTTGGAAGTAGATTTATTTGGGGCCTTATTAACATTGGAGGCCTGGACAAAGTAAACAAAATTGTGCCCATTAGCAAAAGCTTGAGACCCGAAATGTCAACTTTCCTACTCCTCTGATGCTCCCTAACCTGCTGTGTTCCTCTAGTTCCATACTATGTTCAGTCTGACTCCAGCATCTGCAGTTCTTGCTATCTCCCAGTTAATGTTTCAAGTCCGGTAACCTTTTGTTAGAACTCTTACCGTGCACTGGCATGGACAGCATAGGCTGAATGGCCTTCTTCTGTATTGTCACCATTATATAGTTCCATTCATCTTAGGTCGCATTGACTGGGTTGAGGGAGAATGGCACTGTACCCTGAACAGTTATGGAACCATGAACTGCTGCGGTTCTCAGCAATTCTAAGTAGCTCATATGAAAGAAACTTATTTCAATTTCACAGACTATTGTAGACATAATCACAACTACACATTAGTCTTAGGATACAATGAGAAAACCTGTTAGACAACATTCTATCCTCTATCAGGAAAACAACAAACACAAGGTACTGTAATGCCTTGCAAACAGACTAGCACCATTATGAAATCTACCCTGCATATTAAGCAAAATCCCACTTAGTTGGTCCCCAATATTTTTGTCACCTTCATGAATAACTCAGCAGGCGACATCCAAAAGTGTTGCCTGCTACCCTGTGTTGCCCCTGTGCCCACCAGAGTGGTCCCCAGGTGTTAGCCATGATTCGCCTGGTAGCATTCTTACTTCTAAATTGGAAGGTTGTGAGGTCAAGTCCTAATCCAGAACTTGAACATGATAGGTCAGAAATTGGTGTATTTGCTGATGATTGCACAATGTTCAGCTTTTGCGATTCCACAGATACTGAATCAGCCAGTGTCCATCTGCAACAAGACCAGGACAAGATTCAGGCTTGAGCTGATTAATGGCAAGTTACATTCACACCATGCAAGTACCCAGCACTGCCCATTTCCAACAAGAGAGCATCTAACTGTCTCTCCTTCAATGACATTAACATCGTTAACTCCACTATTAACATCCTTGCGGGCTACCAGTGACCAGAAGCTGAACTGGACCATCCATGTAAGTACTGTAGCTAAAAGGGCAGTTAGGCTGGGAATTCTGCAGCAATAACTCACCTCCTGACTCCTTAAAGCCTGTCCACTAGCTACACAAGGAATCTAAGTGAATACTGTCCACTTGTCTGGATGTGTAAGATTTCAACAACATTCAAGAAGCTCAACATCATCCAAGACCAAGCAGCTAGTTTGATTGGCACTCCGTCCACCACCTTCAACATTCGTTCCCTCCATCATGGATGCATCGTGACATTAATGTGTAATGTAGCACCTTCAAGATGCACTGCAGCAACTCATCAAGGCTCCTTCAACAGCATCTTCTAAATCCATATTCTGTACTATCTCAAGGACAAAGGCAGCAGATGAATGGGAACATCAGCAAGCTCCCCTCCAAGCCACATACCATCCTGACTTAGAACTATATCATCATTCCTTCACTGTCACTCGGTCAAAATCTTGGAATTCCCTTCTAACAGCACTAAGGGTGTACCTCCAGCTAAGGACTGTTGTGGTTTAAGAAGATAGCCACCATCACCTTCTCGAAGATAATTAGGGGTGAGCAATAAATGCTGCCATTGCCAACAAAGCCCACATCGGTGAAAGAATGAAAAAATCCAGGCTGATATGACAGTCCTGACATATGCCCATCTTTTGAATGAAAGGGATGGAAAGTCAAATTGATAACTAAAGTTCAATTCATTTCTAATAGAGGTGGGTGATCTGCTCTGCCCGATTACTGCCCAGACTGTGAAGATAAAAAGATAATAGATGGGCTAACATGGTCCAAAAATTCAACCTATGTGTTTTATACAAAGGAAATTAGCTTATAAGTTCACTTTTAATCTAAACACAAACACAGTCAAGGCCTAATTAAAAAGCTGTTTGGTGAATTGAAGCTTATCATAGTTTCTCCCCTGAGCTCCTCCCCCAGTCCCCAACTGCTTATCTAAAAATCAAAGTCTACATTACAACTTTCTGACACTTTGCAACACACTTGTCAAACATCTTTTGGATTGCTTAATTACTCAAGGAGAGATCCAGTTTTGAAATCATTCACCAGGCAAAGTTGTAGAGACAGAAGCCCAAGTTTACACTGGAACCATTCTCTGCTTCTTCAATGCATATGCATCCTTTTTGAACAGTTTGGGACATCTAAAAAGGCGGATACTTTTACATGTGAAATATGTTACAGCTATAAGGAGAGACTGGACCATCTAGGGTTGTTTTCTCTGGAGGGGTGGAGGCTGAGGGGAGACCTGGTAGAAGTTTATAAAATTATGAAAGGCATAGATAGGGTTGACAATCAGAATCTTTTCTCCCCAGAGTTGAAATGTCTAAAACCAAAGGGCATGCATTTAAAGTAAGAGGGGGAAAGTTCAAAGGAAACGTGAGGGGCAAGTCTTTTTACACGGAATGTGGTAGGTGCCTGTAATGCGCTGCCAGGTGTAGTGGCGGAGGCAGATACAATACAGGAGTTAAGCACATAAATAAGCAAGGAATGGAGGGATGTGGCCCCTGGGCAGGTAGAAGGGATTAGTTTAATTTGGCATCATGTTTGGCACAATATCCTGGGTGGAAGGGCCTATTCTTTTGCTGTATTGTTCTATATTCTATGTTCTATGTACTAAGCAAACGCAATCACATGCATGAATATACAGTGCTGTAGAGGGAAGGGTACAAGACACACTGTGCAAAACATAAATTAGAAATCTGCATAGAAGCACATTATTCAATTGAGCAAATTTTTAGCGTACAGGTCAGTTGAACGTAATGTTCTGCCACATTGACTGTTCTAAAATCTGTAAAATGTGTGAATGAAAATTCAGTTTTTATCTTGAGTATTTCATGATGCAACTTTTGTCACTACAGTTGAAGGAGAATCCTGCTGTAATTCTGAAGAAGGGAAAGAGAAGTCAGAATGAGTAACTTTAGAGAATGCATAAGTGAACCTCCTGAGCAGGAAATTGAGTGTGAAAGATATCAGTGCTAAGTGATTTTGACTGAGGCTTTGGTGAAAGGGAGCATAAACTTTCCTCCCTTGCCTTGTTCCATCTTGTTATTATTATACTTTGTTTTACGTGCTGCATGAAAGCTTTTCTTATGTTGCATGAAAAGTGTTAGGAAGTGAATTGATAAGCACATGTGTACACGAATATCCGTGATGCCACACGAATTGCTAGGCTCTACAATCTCTGTACTGAACTAACAATATATTGTTGCACAGCACATGATGGGAGTTGGAGAAAGAAACCCAATGGCAGTTTCAATCCCTCCAAGTCTGATTGTCTTAAATTTCTGGGAAGCATAAGACAGAGCAGGTTTCATCATTTAAAATTGTTTTTTCCTCAATGTAGCTTTGTCTTGTGCTTATCTCTGATTGTAAAATTTGTTCTATGAGGAGAATAAAGAAAAGTGACTGAAAACTCTCCTTTGCAGCCAGAAGTTTCAACCTTCAGAAAGCAGAGTCAATGATTCGCAAGGTAGGAAAAACTGCTATTAAAAGTTGTACTGAATGTAAGTAATCATTTCATCTTCAATAAAAACTAGCAGGCAAGCCTCCCTCTTTCTCAAACAAAATTCCCCACACTTAGTTCCTGGATGAGACAGAGTGGAATGGCAAGTGTTGTTCGATGCTTCTGACCTTGATTGGGAATTCTTTGGTTGCTTTAATTTTCCATTCCTGTCTTTCATTGAAACTTTTATGAATGACATGGCCAAAATCATGAACTTTCTGATGAAGGAATTTCAGATTCAAGTCTGATCCTATTTGTACCTAAAGTAACGACATTAGGTTGATTTATATTCTGTGTAATTAAATTGTAACGTAGTGACATCCTTCACATTGGAGTTCTGCCTAATGCCTTTTCAAGATCGCTGTGCTCAAAATGTTCAATTGATTATTTAAGTTATTCACTGAAAATTGCAATATGTTTTGATGGTCATACAAACGCCACTATCTTGCAGGGTGTTTCAGATTTCAGTAACATGGTGCTCTGCACAACACCACCAACATACTTGGCGGGAGGTTACTATTGATCAGAAAGTTAATTGCAACAGCCATATAAATGCTACTGCTGCTAGAACAAGTCAGAAGTTGGGAATTCTGTGATACTTTTCTCCAAAGCCTCTCCACCATCTACACACCGCAGGGTCAGACAGATATGTGACAGAATGCCTTCAATGATTGGAACAATATCAGCAGGTGGATCTCATAGAATACAAGGTTCCCTGATTGGGGCTGTTAAATTGGTCCAATCAGAGAGCCCTGGCTGACAGATTTGAACAGGAGAGTCCGAGGTTTTGTTCACTTTAGGAGCTGGCTCTGAGCTAACTGGTGACTTGGTGATGGGCTAGCAGTCTTCATGGAGTTACTTTGATGCCCACTACTTGCCTCAATGAGTGCAGCTTAAGAAACTCAATCCAGGGCCAAGCATTTGATTGGCATGCCAATCAGCACCTCAAATACTCAGTCCCATGGAACACCACCACCTGCAAGTTCCCCTCTAGGTCACACACTATCCTGACATTGAACCATTTCAGCATCAATGGACAAAGAGTTGGAACTCCCTGACAGCACTGTGGATGGACCTACTTCACATAGACTGGACCGGTTCAAGAGAGTAGCTCACCACCACTTTCTCCAGGAAATTAAGGATGAGCAATAAATGCTGCCTTTAAGCAACAATGAGCAAATGAAATAAAAAGAGCCTCAGCCTTTTCAGAACACATTTTACTTGGTCTGCCACAATCTACTGAATACTTTGTCTTAAAATCCTGTGGTGGACTGTTATTTAATGTGGGAAATTTAAAGGTGGCTCAGAAACTGCTTTCCCATGCCTGCCCAAAGCCCCCAGGTGAATCCTGTCAGGTTCACTAGTGGACTGTTGGAGGTGGGAGTTCCGGGACTTGGTGTCCAATTGAGGGGCCTGTCATTGTGAAAGAGGGGCAGCTGGAGGATGCCCTGCTGCCCTTTCATCTGACCACCCTGCCACTCCTCTCATGGTCCCTGTCCTGCGCCCATTCAGGTGTGTCTAGGGATCGCACAATGAACATTGATGAAGACCCAGGAATATTACTTGTTACCAGTCACAGTGCTCAGAATGGTTTGCTGCTGGGTCTCAGATTGGGATGCAGATCTTGGGATGGGATTTCCAGCATTAGTGTCCTAAATCCCAAAGAAGAGCTGAGGCTGGGACTTAATTTGGTTGGACCTCCTCCACAGAAACATTTTCAGGATTCCCACCCGTTCTTCAGTCGATGGACATGAATCCCATTGTCAGCATTAAATCCAGCCCATGATGTCAGTGAAATAAATATGTTCAATGAGTTGATATTATGCTACATTGAAGGAGAAGGTCACATCTCTTCTGCATTAATTTTTAGCATGTTGAGTTCAGGAAACAGATGAAAGTTGACACTCTCACGAGTGACTGGGAACCTCCTGAGGTAAGACGCTAACTTTATCTAGCTTTGGAAATGAAACTTTGTCATCTGACTTTAAACTGATGAACCCTGAACTTTGTACTCAACATTTTAATTAGTACTGCATGTTATCAAATTTCCATGAGATGGAAACCTAATGTTTTGATGCCAAAGGAGAATCAGTTATGACCAAATATCTGAACTGATGCAAGTTACCTTTAATAGAATAAAATATAGTTATACTGTAATTAGATAGGACAAGTTGATGTAGTGAGCAGCCCAATTATTTCAACTGTTGCAGAAAAATGCAGTCCCAGCTTTTTATTTTGCTAAAGCAGTCAGTTATGTCACTTACAGAGTATAGGAGTTGGGATGTCATATTGTGGCCTTTCAGAACACTGGTCAGGCCACTTTTGGACTGCATTCAATTCTGGTCTACTTGCTACAGGAAAGGTGTTGTTAAACTTAACAGGATGCAGAAAAGAATCATAAGGATGTTGTCTGGGCTGGAAGTTTTGAGCTAGAGGGAGAGGCTGAATAATCTGGGACTATTTTCCCTGGAGCATCAGAGGCTAAATAGGCTGACGCTATTTTCCCTAAAGTGTCAGAGGCTAAGGGGTGATCTCATAGAGGTTTATAAAATAATGAGGGGAATGGATAGGGTGAATAGCCAAGGTCTTTTTCCCCAGGGGAGTCCAAAACTAGAGGGCATAGGTTTAAGGTGAGAGGAGAAAGATGTAAAAGGGACCTAAGGGGCAACTTTTTCCACACAGAGTGTGGTGTGAATTATGGAATGGCTTGTCAGAGGAAGTGGTGGAGGCTAGTACAATTACAACATTTAAAAAGCAGCTGATGGCTATACGAATAGGAAGGGTTTAGAGGGATATGGGCCAAACACTGGCAAATGGGACTAGATTAATTTGGGATATCTGGTCGGCATGGCCCAGTTGGAGCGAAGGATCTGTTTCCAAGCTGTACATCTCTATGACTATGTAACTTTATAAACATGAACACATAACTGACACTGAGAACATTTGAAACTCACCTGCCTTCCCTGCCAATCTCCCTCCATTCTTCAAGAATGCTACCCCCACAGGTGAAATAGGTCTCTCTTTCTTAATGGGTCTTTTTTTTTTTGGAAGCGGGCCAGACTGTGGTAGGAACAGGGGGTCTCTACTTTGAAGGAGCCAGGTGCTGCAGCAAAAACAAAAAGCAACAAGACACTTAGAAAATAGGAAGAAATATAATAATGAAGTGACATCATAAAATCTGCTTTCTATAGAAGTCTATAAAAGGCTGCTTTCCTCTCTGAAATAAGCCAGCTAATCCGTGAAAAATGTATGAGGAGAAATCTGATAATACAATTATGAATCACAGAATACTAGCAGCAGAGAGAAGGTCATGCAGCTCATTAAATGTACACCTACTCTTTAGAAGAGCAATCTATTTAGTCCTACTCCCTTCTCTTGCACATACTCTCCATTCTTAACTTGCTCATGAATTTTTACATTCAGTTATTTATACATTCTCTTTTCAAGGCTATTATTGAATTTGTATCTACCATTCTACCAGGCAGTATGTCCCAAATCCAAACCACTTGTCGTGCAAAACAAATTTCCCTCACGTCACCCCTGGTTCCTTAGCTGTTCACCTTAAGTCTGTACCTTTGTGTTATCAAGCCTTCAGCCATTGGAAACTGTTTCTCTTTATTTACTCTATCTAAACTTTTGATGATTTTAAACACTTCCATCAGATTTCCTCTTAGCCCTTCTGATGTTAGAAGAACTCCACCTTCGCTGGTCTTTCCGATTAACTGCAATTCCTCATCCCGGGACCCATTCTGTTCTGTGCCTTTTCCGAAGCTTTCTCTCGCTTCCTAAAGCATGGTGCCCAAAGTTGAACATAATACTTCAGTTGGGCACTAGAGGTTTAGCATGACTTCCTGGTTTTTGTATTCGATGCAACTATTCATAAAACCTAGTTTCCCACATACATTATTAACTGCTTTGTTAACCTGTGTTGTCCTGGGATCTGTTTCTAGCATTGCCACTGTTACCTACATTTACAAGTTTCAAGTCATCAGCAGATTTCAAAATTGTGCCTTGTACTCCCAAGTTCAGCAGTGATATTTGATGAAGAAAACAGTCAAAAAGAAAGAAAATCAATAATACAAAGAGACTAAACAGAAAATGAATGTGAATTATAAGCTTAACATCTAAAGGTACATAAATGTAACTATAAAATGAGTTGAAACAAGATGATTCAACAACAATAAGCTCATGCATGGCTATTAGAGATAATAAAGACATTTTTAATTTAAAAGTGTAAAATGAGGGAGAGAGGGCACCTCAAAATCAAAACAACCTCCCCAGTACCTGATCTACAAGTTGCTGCTCCTTCCTTGCTAGAGGATCTCCAATTGCTCTTTCTAGTTCAACAACCTGACCAACAGCCTTAGTTCAACAGTGAGCCTGCCCTCATGCAGCTAATTGACCAGTCCAGGTGAAATGAATGCTGAGTAACTGTTCCCTGACTTCTGACCTTTATTTGATTTGATTTTGATTTTATTGTCACATGTACCAAAATACAGTGAAAAGCTTTGTTTACCCTATACATGCACATCATGATTTTATAAACCTCTATAAGATCACCCCTCAGCCTCTGATGCTCCAGGGAAAATAGCTCCAGCCTATTCAGGCTCTCCCCATAGCTCAAACCCTCCAACCCTGGCAATGTCCTTGTAAATCTTTTCTGAGCCCTTTCAAGTTTCACAACATCTTTCCAATAGCAGGGAGACCAGAATTGCACACAGTATTTCAACAGTGACCTAACCAATGTCCAGTACAGCCGTAACATGACCTCCCAACTCCTACACTCAATGCACTGACCAATAAAGGCAAACATACTAAACACCTTCTTCACTATCCTATCTACCTGCAACTCCACTTTCAAGGAACTATGAACCTGCGCTCCAAGGGTCTCTTTGTTCAGCAACATTCCCCAGGACCTTGCCGTTAAGTGTATAAATCCTGCCCTGATTTACCTTTCCAAGATGCAGCATCTCTCATTTATCTAAATTGAACTCCATCAGCCAATCCTCAGCCCACTCGCCCATCTGATCCAGATCCTGTTGACCTCTGAGGTAACCTTCTTCGCTGTCTACCACACCTCCAACTTCAGTGTCATCTGCAAACTTACTAACCATACCGTCCTAGTAAATAAATGAATTTGAAAATGTTTAATGTGAAGAATATTTCCAGCTGAACTGAGACCTAAGGACAAGGGGGCTTAGGTAGCAATTGGCAAAAGTTAAGTTCAGAACTGATGCCAAGAAACATTTCTCCATACAAGAATAACTAATCGTCTTCAAGGAGGATGGAATTGTAACAGCTCCGGCATCATTGAAGATGCAATTCGATCCAGGGCAGGCTTTTGGTTACTTTGGAAAGATTGTATATGTTGTTGTAATGCTGTTTCAGTTTATTTAGCTTTAATGCATGTTACGGATGGGACTAACTATTTCTCTGTCCCCTCACCTCTCAGTTCTCTGCAACAAAATGTATTTTAAAGGGATTGTTTTAAACCTTTTGCGTTTTGTGATTTTGGGTAGTAAGACCACACAGCAGGCATTCAGGTTATTTAAACTCAGAAGAAAAGATAAATGTTTATACGCATGTGCACACAAATAAAGTTAGATTGTCAAAACAAAGCATACGGCTAGATTATCAACAATAACAAGTGGTTATATAATACTTTAAGGTACATACGTTGCAAACCTGGCTGGATTCTGTCTTGTAGTTTTCTTGCTGAGGAACAGAAGTTTGGAGTCTCTGGATTTCTAGACAAGGTTATGGCTGAGTTTCTGTAGTGGTGAAAATGAACTAGTCCCTGTTGTGGTGCCTGGTTTGACATTGTTAAACAGGGTTTACTGGTGGCTGTTCACACCTGCTTGTGAAAACTGGTTTCTCGACACCTCTAAATAAAAACCGAAAGAACTGCAGACGCTGTAAATCCGGAACAAAAACAGAAGTTGGAAAAGCTCAGCAGGTCTTAGGTTCTGAGGGTGGGTCACCAAACCCGAAGCGTTAACTCTGAATTTTTCTTCACAGATGCTGCCAGACCTGCTGAGCTTTTCTAGCAACTTCTCTTTTTGTTCTCTATACCTCTCTTATTTAAGGGCTGAGCTTGCAAGCTATTCTATGGCCAACGGGCCTCTAAATTCCACAAGTGGTTTTGTCTCCAGTATGGCTGAATATTCAATTAGGAGATCACCCTACCCATGGTAATTTACATCAAGAACTTTCCAGAGATATGAGGCACTTTGTTGTTGTCTTTCCAGAAGTGTCAAAGCTAGCCTAACTCTATGCTGCCAACTTAGCAACTTTATCAACTTTTTAAAGTCAGTTTTGAAAAGTCTACATCAACTGAAGTCAGTGTTGAAAGTTAGGAATATGATACCTTTATTGGTCATGACAGTAATTTTTAGCAAAATTTGAACAAATTCCATTAATTGTCCAGATCAACTGCTCCATTTTGAATATCAGAGAGAAGCCCAAATAGATGAAAATTTATTCCTCTTTTCTTTAAAATAACAGAAGGAACTAAAAAAGATACTAATCCAGTCAGAACCAATATACTCCCTACCTATAAGTACTGATGTCCATTTTTGGATGACCCCTTCTCTCTGTGATCTTCAGACAGGTAAAGGAAATTAGAAGCATGCTGGGGAATTAGCTGAAGTGTTTCAAGGGAATGTTGACTCTGGAAACTGAGCTCTGTGTCCTCTGCCAGGTCATTACTCGTTATTTCGCTGGAGGCATGTGCGGCTATGACAAAGCAGGCAGCCCTATTTGGTATGACGTGTTGGGCCCTTTGGATCCAAAAGGTTTGATGCATTCGGCATCTAAGCAGGACTTTTTAAAGACAAAAATCCGAGACTGCGAGCTGCTGCGAGAAGAGTGTTTTAAACAGTCTAAAAAGGTAAGGAGCTAGGAAGATTTTTAAAATGGATGAGCAGTCTTTGAGCCCTAACTCTTTTCGCTTTTTAACTCGGAACATCAAGTTTTCTTCTTGCCGAGCTCTTGGGTTCTGATAACAAGTTGTAGAAACCTATGAATAAGGAGCAGATTTAGCCTTTGAGCTTGCTCCACCATTCAGTAAGGTCATGACAATCTGATTACTCCATCATCCTGCCCTTTCATTCTCATGGTTATCAAGAATCTATCAATCTGTATCTTTACAATATTCAAAGACTCTGCTTCCACTGCCTTTTAAGAAAGAGAATTCCAAAGACAGACAATCCTCTGTCTTTATCTCTGTCTTATGACCCTCGTCCTTGATTCTCCCACAAGAGGGAACATTCTTTTTACATTGACCCTGTCAAGACCTCTCAGGATTTCATATGTTTCAATCAAGTCACCCCTTAGTCTTTTAAAGGCTGGTGGATGCAACCCTTGCCTGTCCAGCTTTCCCTCATAAAAGTAAAGGGAGTTGGGTAACTGAGCTGCCAGCTTTGTAATGCAGAGTGATGCCAACATTGAGTGCTCAGTTCCTGTACAGGTAAAGTAACCATGAAAGCCCCTTCTCAATCTCACCCCTCACCTGAAGCTTGGTAACCCTCAGGTTTACTTCACCTGCTGGTGGGTTTCTTCCAAATGTGTGAGCAGCCTATAGTCCTCTGGGACACTGGTGACTTTTTTTCCATAAGACAACCCACCCATTCCAGATATTGGTTAGTGAACTTTCTATGAACCACTTCCAATACATTTGTATCCTTGCTTAACTAAGGAGATCAATACCGGACATAGCAATTAGATATGGGCTCACCCTGTATGACTGTAACATAATCTCCCAACTTTTGTATTTAATTTGATAACATTCTATTAGCTTTCCAAACTACTTGCTGTACCTGCATACTAGCTTTTTGTGATTCATGCACTAGGACACTCAGATCCCTATGCATCGCGGAGCTCTGCAATCTTTCACCATGTAGATAATCTGCCTTTTACTGTTCATGCTCCAATGAATAATTCTGCATTTTCTCATACTTGTTGTCTAATCTCACCTGAAAACTATTTAGACAACTCCAACCAGAATGTTTTGAATGAATTTCCCCAGGTGTCCCACAATACCAAAGTGATCAAATGAATATGAACACAAGCCGGTACGAATGCAAAGCAGTCCCAACTTTATTAGGAAGCAAGTTACAATAACCTTTAATACAAAACTTACTATCTCTAATCCTATTCGGCCCCTTAAGGTTACAATACTCCTGAGTCTCTTGTAGATTTTTGCAGGCAGTCTCTCTCTGGCTGTGTCTCTGTGTCTGCAAAGCTGCGTTCTTCCTCTGTCCCCTTGGATAGTAAGCTGGTCTCTGCCTTTTGCCATGCTGATCTCCTTGGAAGGCCTGAGACAATTCCAAAATCTTCCAAGAGAGAGGTCTGCAGGTGAACCCTGTTTTTATACCTTTTAGATGGTTTTCTGGAACTTTCTATAGTTTTGGCCCATCAGGGAGATACACTTAATAGTTTGAAACAAGAGTCAATCATTTAGATGGTATGCTGCTGTTAGCTTCTTTTTGTAGCAGGACTGGTGCCTTTCTGTCTGGCCTCTCCTTTGTTTAAGGGATAACTTGTTGGGGGAATGTCAGTCCAGAATAATATTATGCTAATATCATTAGCACCTGGCTGCTGTGTTTGCAGTATGTCTGGTGTGTGGGTTTTGTGATTTCAGAGTTTTACTTGTTAATTGTACCCAGCATCCCTCGCTGTTTGGCCAAGTTAGCAATCTATCTGTTTTAGCAGCCAGGAAGCTGCTACATTCTCCACTTGCCAGATCTTCATCCACTGAACCAATATATCTGTATCCCCTTGTAGCCTCCTTAAATCCTATTCACAACTATCTATTTTGTGTCATTAACATATTTAGCAACCATACCTTCAGTCCCTCCATCTAAGTTATTTATATAAATTATAAATAGTCAAGGCCCTAGCACTGATGCCTGTGGCGCACCACTCATTACGTTTTACCGAACCATAAAATTGCCCATTTAAAGCTATTCTCTACTTCCTGTTAGTTAGCCAATCTTCTATCCATGTCTACAATGATTACTCTTACAATTGTATTGTTATCAGGTTAAAATTCAAAATGCATCATTCTTTTTGATGTTTCCTTTTCAATTGCTGCAATAAAAAGTAGCAATGAAAAGGATTTCTAGATTGGAAATATCTTGGTACCTGAGAACCTGTTTTTGAAGGTAAGATTCAAAGAAATTAATGCCAGGAAGGTTTACTTATGAAAGTAGGTTGCAAAGACTTGGCTTGTAGTTCTTTGAGAATAAAAGATCAAGGAGTGATTAATTGAGATGTTAATGATAAAATGTTCTGTTAAAGTAAACAAAAGTCAAGGATATTGAGGCTTATGGAACCAAGATAGGTAAACGTGTTAAGATACAGGTCAACCATGACTGAATTCAATGGCAGAACAAGACCCAGGAACTTGAGTAGACTGATTCGGAGTTTATGATTCTATGACTGATGGTATGCAACAATTGTCTGTTCCAACCACAACTGGAATTTGCTTCACGCAAAATTGTGGAAGGAATGCAAATGCAATTTTTGGAAAATAATTGCTTCTTCCCTTAAGGGAGAGACTCAAGCAATTGTGTTGTTGTAGGGCTAACAACTCACAAATAGTTCAGGGTAGAAATTCCATTTTTTTGCGTGAGGTGCAGGTGGCAGATTGAAGTGAGTTGCCGGTACATGTTGCTCCTCAAGATACACCTTGGCAGTCCCTGCTGAAACAGTTTGACCTGCTTGTCTCACTAGTAGCTGAACAACTTTAGTGTTGACAGATACATTCCTGTTGAAGTTAGGAGCAAAACCACCTTTACTCAAATGTAACCTGCTCATCAGTCAAGTCAGAAAGATCTGATGCTTTGGCCCAAAACATAGACATTACTGGTGGTACGTCAATGATGACTTTATTTCCTGTTCTTGGTCACACACTGCTGTGGTCTCCACCTGAGAGACTGATAAACAATCTGTTTGTTGACTCCCAAAAATGGCAAGTTATCTCCTGCCAAAAGAGATGTTAAGTGCAAATTGGAGACAGTTTTCCATTGCATTCTTTGCATGCCTGTTGTCAGGATTCACCAAACCCCAACTCAACCTCTCTCACTACTTCATTAACAAGATAAAGATTTGACTTATCAGAACTGAAGCACAAACCTTTCTACCATTAGTTCATTGCAACTTAATTATAGATTGCAGTTTGAAATGCAATCCTGTAAAGGAATGTGACACGAGTTTTACTGTTAATTTCATTGTAACTGGGAAAATGAGACTACTTTATATTTTTCGTCCAATTGCATGCAAGTCTAATGATGTCTGGCGGCGATTTTAATTCAATGTTTGTTCTGGAGTTCAAACTGGAAAATATTGGTCCTGCATGTTGACAAGTAAAACCTCTAGAATAAAATCATAGAACATTTACAATACAGAGGGATGACATTCAGCTGGCCATGTCTTTGCTGGTTTTTTACAAGAATGACAAACAGGAGGCTGGAAGAACACAGCAAGCCAGGCTGCATCGAGAGGAAAGGAGCAGTCAATGTTTCGGGTATTACCCTTCTTCAGGACTGGATGTGGGGGTAGGGGGAGCTGCAGATAAAGAGGGGGGAGCAGAGGGGTGGAGGTAGAATGGTGGTGATCGGTGGACGCTGGTAGTAGGTATGACCTGGTTGGTCAATGGGAGGGATGAATCCAGTTGGTAGCTGGAAGGGAGGGTCAGAAGGTGGAATGGAAGGGAACAGGCAGGGCTGGAAGGGGAGCCTGGGAATGGGTGGCAAGGTTATTTGAAATTGGAGAACTCAGTGTTGAGTCCTCCAGGCTGTAGGGTGCCCAGGCAGAAGATAAGATGTTGTTCTTCAAATTTGCGTTCTGAGTTGCAGCAACACTGGAGAAGTCTGAGGACGGACATGTCAGTGGGGAGTGGGACAGGGAGATGTAATGGGCAGTGACCAGGAGGTTAGGCTGGCCGTTACGGGCCAGGCGAAGACGCTCAGCAAAACGGTCACCTAGTCTACGTTTGGTCTCACTGACGTAGAGAAGACCACATCAGGAGCAATAGACTAGGTTGGAGGAGATGCAGGTGAATCTTGGTCTCCCTTGGAAGGACTGTTTAGAGCCCTGGATGGAGGTGAGGGAGGTGGTGTGTGGGCAGGTGTTGCATCTTTTACGGTTACAGGGGAAGGTACCGGGCGGGTTGGAGTTGTTGGTGGGGAGGGTGGGGAGTGGTGAAGGGAATGGTCCTTGTGGAGGGCAGAGAGGGGTGGGGAGTGGAAGATGTTCAGGGTGGTGGGGTCTAATTGGAGTTGGCAGAAGTGTTTGAGGATGATACGTTGGATGCAGAAGCTTGTGAGGTGGAAAACCAGGTGGCAACTCTCTGACACCACATCCTACCTCCCCTTTGACCATGACCCCATCATGGCCTATCAAGCCACCGTCTCCCACACTGTCCATGACCACGTTGCTTCCAGTGACCTCCCCTCTATAGTCCCCCAGCCCCGCAATGCCCCGTTCTACTTGCTCCCCAAGATCCACAAGTCCAACTACCTCAGCCAACCCATCGTCTCCGCATGCTCCTGCCCCACCAAACCCATCTCTTCCTACCTCAACTCCATTCTCCTACCCCTTGGTCCAGACACTCCCCACTTACATCTGGGACATAAACCACGCCCTCCACCTCTTTGGTAACCTCCAGTTCCCTGGCCCCCAGTGCATCACCTTTACTACCAACGCCCATACCCCACAAGTACGGCCTGCAGGCCCTCAGTTTTTTTCCTCTCCCACAGACCTATCCAGTCCCACCCCAAACAATACCCTCCTCCGCCTCACCAACTTTTCCTTCAATTCTTCCCACTTTCTCCAGATCCGGGGGTTGCCGTATGCACTCGCATGGGTTGCCCCAGCTACACCTGCCTGTTTGTCGGTTGTGTTACACAGTCCCTCTTCAGTATGTACCCCAGTATTGTACCCCAACTCTTCCTCCGTTACATTGATGACTGCATCAGTGCTGCATCCTGCACCCTGGCTGAACAGGAGCAGTTCATCAATTTCGCCAACAACTTCCACCCTGCCCTCAAATTCACTCGGTCTATCTCAGACTCCTCCCTCCCCTTTCTTCACCTCTCCGTTTCCATTTCTGGCGACAGTTTACAGACCAATGTTTACTATAAACCCACAGGCTCCCAAAGCTACCTAGACTACACCTCCTCCCACCCTGTGTCCTGCAAAAACTCTATCCCATTTTCCCAATTCCTCCGTCTCTGTCACATCTGCTCTGATAAGAAGACATTCCACTCCCAAGCATCCCGATTTCCACCTTTTTCTAACAATGCTCTTTTCCCCCCTCTGTCATCCAGACAGCCCTCCACCGCGCCTCCTCCATTCCTAGCTCCACAGCTCTTAACCAACCCCCTTCAAACATAATAAAGACAGGGTCCCCCTTGTCCTCACTTTCCACCCAACCAGCCTCCGCACCAACGTATCATCCTCAAACACTTCTGCCAACTCCAATTAGACCCCACAATCCGGAACATGTTCCACAAGGACCATTCCCTTCACCACTCCTTAGTTTGCACCACACGCCCCACCAACCACTGCAACCTGCCCAGTATCTTCCCCTACAACCATAAAAGATGCAACACTTGTCCACACACCACCTCCCTCACCTCCATCCAGCGCCCTAAACAGTTCTTCCAATTGAGACCGAACTTGACCTGCAACTCCTCCAAATTAGTCTATTGTGTCCAGTCCTCCCGATGTGGTCTTCTCTACGTCAGTGAGACCAAACGTAGACCAGGTGACTGTTCTGCCGAGCGTCTTCGCCTGGCTCATAACGGCCAGCCTAACGTCCCAGTCACCACCCATTTCAACTCCCCGTCCCACTCCCCCTCCGACATGTCCGTCCTTGGCCTCCTCCAGTGTCACAGTGACTCAGAACGCAAATTTGAAGAACAACACCTTATCTTCTGCCTGGAGGACTCATCATTGAGTTCTCCAATTTCAAATAACTTTCCCTCCCAACCACCCTCCAGCTTCTCTTCCAGCTCCACCTGCTCCCTTCCATTCAACCTTCTGACCCTCCCTTCCAGCTACCAACTGGATTCATCCCTCCCATTGACCAACCAGGTCGTACTCACTACTAGTGTCCACCTATCATCACCATTCCACCTCCACCCCTCTCCCCCGCTCTCTTTATCTGCAGCTTCCCCTACTCCCACATCCAGTCCTGAAGAAGCATAATACCTGAAACATTGACTGCTCCTTTGCTCCAGATGCTGCCTGGCTTGCTGTGTTCTTCCAGCCTCCTGTTTGTCTACCTTGGATTCCAGCATCTGCAGTTATTGTTTGTCTCTTTACAAGAATGACTGCTATTTCCGCTCCCCTACCATTTCTTCAAAGCTCTGCAATTTTAAAAATTCTCTTCAGCATCTTATTCAATGAGCCTAAAATTTCTGGTGTTTAGATTAATAAGAGACAATCTCATTGAATTGCCTATATTATCAGAGAGCTTGAGAGAGTAGATGCTGAGAGAGACTCTCCACTTGTTGGAGTGTTTAGAACTACATGGGTCAGACATTTATGACTGACGTGATGGCAGATTTATTCACTCAGAGGGCAGTGAATCTTTGAAATTCTCTACCCCCGCCCCTGCTGTGTTGTGAATGCTCAGTCGTGGTGTTTATTCAAGAAAGAGTTTGTTGATTTTTGAGCAATTAGGGAAGCAAGCAATATAGTTGTAGAGCGGTCAAGTGGAGTTGAGGTTAAAAGTCAACTATGACCTTATTGAATGATGGGCCATGTTCATTGGAACTCTGCTCCTACCTCTTAGTTATTTTTCTCTTCAATCACTTTGCACTTGGGCAGGTCAGCAACAACACTGAATACCAATAAAATCTCATGATGAGCCTTGGTGTTTTCTGGTTTAATGGTGATTTCCGCTTTTCTATAATTTCAGCAAAGCTGGGTTTACACATTATAGGGAACACAGTCAGCATTGCAGATACACAGACTGTCAATGTACATTAAAACATGTTACAAGCTGATATAGTGAAAAAAGAAAGGAAGGACAAAAAATAGGAGCAGGAAACAACTCATTGTTTAAGGCACTTTATAGCCTTTTCATCAGTGTGTACAGGCAAGCAGCTCTTTTCTAATCTTCTGCGCTGGCTTCCTTAGTATCAGCTTAACGTACATCAGATTGTGATTTTGATGCATGAGATATGTCTTAACTCAATGACATTAGAAATTGTCTTTTCATTTAAAGGCTGATGCTAAACTGAAAAATGTAAAAATAAAACAAATTCTGAACTCAAATTATACATTTAACTGCAGCACCGAAAGAAATCATAGTAGGGTATAAAATGACTTGGTTGACTGTAACTAAATATTTCTCTTTTTACAGCATAATAAACACATTGAGGCAATCACAATGATCTATGATTGTGAGAATCTAGGAATGAAACATTTATGGAAACCTGCAGTTGAACTGTATGGAGAGGTAAGGCAGACCAGGTTCAGGATTTACAGAAATCTTTTATAAAGAATGATAGTTTCTGCAGAGTGATGACAAGGCATTCATTTAGTATTAGGTTTCAGGTCATTTGTTACTACAAACTATAATGGACAGAATTTTCCCAGGTCCATGGTGCTGGACTTACAGGAAGGGGATCAGGAAAATAGTGGGAAGCAGATGCACATTCCTGTTGCTGGGGAGTTTTCCCAGGGTTGGGAAGTGAATGCAGTTTGGTTGCCTCTATCATGGAGGAAGGCAGCACATTAACCAATTTGGGGTCCTAATTAGTGTGGTTTCAGAGAACCGACCGCCACTTTACCCAGTAGTGGAGTAGCCCCTTGTGGACATAACCAGTTTAATAGAGGAAGCTGCCCTGTGGCAGTCTGTGATGGGAGTGGGGAGCTGGAAGCAGTGTCAAGAGCTCCACTCCTGAGAGGAGGGGCCACGTGCACCAAAGGTTGCTCCTTGTCCGATAAATTCCAGTCGATGTGTTTACCCACCAATCCAGTGGGCTGCCCTCTTATATATTATTGTTTTTACAGTGCAGCCACCTCCATCACCCTATGGGGCTGTTGAAGCTCCAGAACTTCCAGACCTCTGATTGGGCTCTTCGGGAGCCTGGACAACAAGGGAAGAGGCAGCCAATGAGGAGGCTACCCCGGGGGAATAAAGCTGATCATGCCTGGCTTCTGGCAAATGCAGGCTTGGGACCTCCATTTGGTCCTGATGTTAGGGTCTCAAAGCCCAGGAGAAAATCCTGCCCAATAGAATTAGGAGTTTTTTGATTAAGTGCTGTAATCCAATTGAGGATTCCATAAATTTCTATACATCGAGATAGGCGGGGATGATTGTTAAAAGGGGAGATGGTGATGTACTGGTATTGTCACTAGACCAGTAAACATGATCAGCATCTAGAGTCATGGGTTCAAGTCACACCAAGACAACTGGTGACATTTGAATTCAATTAGTGAATCTGGAATGTCAGTAACAGTCACCATGACAACTATCATTGATTTTTTAAAATAAAATCTCAATGGTTTACTAATGTCCTTCCGTTTTAGGGAAGGAAATTTGCCATTCTTACCTGATCTGGCCTACCTGTGACTTCAGACCCACAAGCTGGATACTGCCCTCTGAAATGGCCCACCAAACCATTTAGCTTTAGGGCAATTAGGGATGGGCAACAAATGATACCTGGACTCCAAGGGTTAAGGCATGAGCAGAGATTACGCAAGTTAGGCCTGTTTCTCTAGAATTAAGAAGGTTAAGAGATGATCTGATTGAAGTCTTCAAGATATTAACAGGAAAAGGCAAAGTAGATAAAGATAAACTATTCCCACTGGTTGGGGATTCTAGAACTAGAGGGTATCATTTGAGAATTAGGGCCAGACTGTTCAGGAAAGATGTTTGAAAACACTTCTATACAAAACAGGGTGTTAGATGTTTGGAACTCACTTCCACAAATGGCAGTGGATGCAGGATCCGTTATTAATTATAGATCTGAAATAGATTTTTTTTTTAAGTAACGGTGTCAAAGAATATGGGGTAAAGGAAGGTGTGTGGAGTTAGGCCATAGATCATCCATGATCTCATTGAATGGTGGAACAGACTCGAGGGGCTGAATGACCTACTCCTGATCCTGTTCCTAAATTCAGGCCTTGCCAGTGACGCCCACATCCAATGAGAATAAAGAGCAAATAATTGTAATCTAATTAAGTGGATTTGATAAGGTAATAAATGCTGTTGATCAATACTTATTATCTGAATCTTGAACTGAGATTACAAACAAATTATTAAGGTTTGATCTTAATATCTCCTGTTTGAATTGGATTCTGTTTTCAGTAAGAAGCTGTGTCATCGATGGCCTTCAGTGTGCAGATCTTAACCAGCGGGCAGCTTTATGTTTCACCTCTCTCCTGTGTTGAAATAAGTGGCTGACCATACAGTTACTGCTGGCATAATAAAAACAACCTATAATTAATTCCTAGGAAACTAGGCCTAATGTAGAATATGAGGCAATAGTGAATGGGCTGGACTTCTAACCTTTCAGACATTAACTGAAACTTATCCACCATCTTAAATGTCATTGCTTAACCAGGTGCTTACCATGTTTGAGGATAACTACCCTGAGGGTTTAAAGACATTGTTTGTTATCAAAGGTAGGAATCTTTGGTTAATACCCAATTCTAAATATATGGAGAATGATTAATTGTCTGTAGAACATTTAAAAATATTCTGAGTTTGTTATCTAGCCAAGGCCAGGAAAGAAATTTGAGTGTTCCATCGAAAATGCATGGTTCTTCATTGAATGTCAGGCAGGCTCCATGGTAGCATCTCTTGTCTCCCCCCAGCAACTTACATTTATGTGCTATCTTTAATGTAGTAAGATTTCCCAAGGCTCCAAGAATGTAAACCCATAATTTAGGCTAATATTGTAACAGCACTGAGAGAATTGTCCAGTGTTGGAGATTTAACCAGGCAATCCTATCAGTTTAGATGGATTTTAAAGTCCTTTTGGGAATGGGGTAGGTATTCTCATAACGTCTTGGCTGACGCTCATTTCTCAACCATAACAGTTTTTCTGGTCATTTAAGGAGCCTAGCCATGTGCAAATTGGCTACAAAACAATAGTAATTCACACTTCTAAAGTATTTTATAGGCTCTGGTTTGTTTTGGAGGATGTGAAAGGCATGATATAAATGTACGTTATGCCATGACATGCTTGCTTACATTAGCCTTGGATAAATTATTGATGAATTATCGCAATTTAATTTGTGTTTTCATGTAAGCCTTCTCATTATAGTGGTAACAAATCTACAAAGAGCGTTGCATACCAACAAAGGAAGCAGAATTGGACTGTTTATTAGAGCATCCATCTCCTCCTGGCCACAGTTGAAAACAGAAACTTACCTGGGCCTTTTCTGGCCACAAATTCTGCAGTTAATCATAGAATCCCTACAGTGTGGAAACAGACCAATTGGCCCAACAAGTCCACACTGCCCTTCCAAAGAACATCCCATCCAGACCCATTCCCCTACCCTTTTCCCTGTAACCCTGCATTTCCCGTGGCTAATCCACACAACTTGCACATCCCTGGACACTACAGGCAATTTAGCATGGCCAGTCCAGCTAATCTGCACAGCTTTGGACTGTGGGAGGAAACCGGAGCACCCGGCAGAAACCCACGCAGACATAGGGAGAATGTGCAAACTCCACGCAGACTGTCACCCGAGGGTGGAATCAAACCTGGGTCCCTGGCGCTGTGAGGCAGCAGTGCTAACCAGTGAGCCACTGTGCTGCCCAAAATCACATGCACACCAGAATGATATTATCAATCCACAGTAATGCCAATCCCACTGTCCCTCAGTACTGAGATTAAATTTTAAAAGAGAAATTTAGTAGGAAGCTCATGAGGTATTCACTATAGGTTGGCAGTTGGTTTATAAATGCCATTGGTGGCTTTTAAGCTCTAACAGGTCACAGCATTTGAAACTGCTTTGTAAAAAGCTTTCAAAAAATCCTACCACAGTCAATCTTAACTGAAACAGTTACCTGCTTATGCCATGAAACCTAGCCCTCATGCCCTAGCTTAATGCATTTTGGATTTTTACAACCAGAGGCGAGTAAACTTTTCCAGTCAACATGTGTGCATGAATTCCCACCCTTCAATTTGACTGAGAAATTAATTATCTAGCAAATATTTGTCCAAAATTAGCATATCAGAGGCTGGGCATTTGCATCTGTACACAGGACACGAAACAATTAATGCATGTCAAGGACAAGAAAGCTATTGTTGAAATGTCATGTGTGTCTCAAACAGTTCTGGATGGTGCAGGATGTTGCCAAAATCAACTTTAATTCTAGCCCTGCTTAATTGTCACTGGATGGCCTAATTTAAAATTGGGGCTAGTGACTAAGCTCACATGGGAAAAGACCACTTTGGAAAAGTACAGAGGGCAGTTGATATTAATGGGACCAATAAGAAAATAGCATACAATGACAAAGTGGTGATAAAAATCACTAGGTTGTGGTAAAAATCCAGCTGGTTCAAAAATATTTTCAGGCAAGAAATCTGGCCATCCTCATGCAGTCTGGCTTGTATGTGACTCCAGATCCACAGGTTAACTCTTAATAGCCCTAGGGATAGTCTAACAAGGCATTAAGTTGTATCTGAGATGCTGGGTTCCTTCCTATTTTCTCAAAGGCAAGTGGAAATGGACAATAATGTGCGACTTAAAAGTGACACCCAAAACTGTGAATGAAAAAGACCAGTGTCTTCGGGAGAGGAGGGCAATAAATTGTTTTACTGGTTTCAACTTCTGCTTCTCATCTGTGTCTATGAGAATGATAAATGGAATTCTCAATGTACCAGTTCTTTGATTACTGATGTATTTGTCAATTTTACAGCACCAAAGATTTTCCCTGTGGCCTACAACCTCATAAAACATTTCCTTAGTGAAGACACACGGAAGAAAATTCAAGTATTGAAAAGTAAGTTCCTTCTCAGCTGTTATTATAGCTCGATGAAGAGCAGACCTTTCTGTTCTATTTTGAATTAAAAAAAGACCAGCAGACTGCAGAAAGTGGTACTGTTCCTGTCGGATTAAAAGCTGTGTTTTTATTGTGATATGCTCAATGAGAATGACCTTGAGGTTTTGTGTGTGTTTGCGTAATTTTGTTTACATGAGAGTTTTAAGCTGAAGTTCCAATTTTAGCTTTATTATACAGTTTTTTTTCAATTAATTCATGAAGCATGGGTGTAGCTGACAAAGGTCATTATTTATCGTCAGTTCCTAACTGTCTTCAATAAGGTGTTGGAGAGCCACTTTCTTGAATTACTGCAGTTGAGGAAGTGTAGACACATTCATAAAGCTGTTCAGGAGTTAACTCTAGGGATTTGATCAGATAGGAAGGATGTTGTGAAACTTGAAAGGGTTCAGAAAAGATTTACAAGGATGTTGCCAGGATTGGGAGGATTTGAGCTGTAGGGAGAGACTGAATAGTCTGGAGCCAGTTTCCCTGAAATGCTGGAGGCTGAGGGGTGACCTTATAAGAGGTTTATGAAATCATGAGGGGCATGGAAAGGGTAAATAGGCAAGGTTTTTTGCTTTGGGTGGAGCAGTCCAAAACTAGAGGGCAAAGGTTTAAGATGAGAGGGGAAAGATTTAAAAGGGACCTAAGGGGCAACTTTTTCATGCAAAGGGTGGTGTGCACATGGAGCGAGCTGCCAGAAGAAGTGGTGGAGGCTGGTACAATTACAAAATTTAAAAAACCTCTGGATAGATATATAAATAGGAAGGGGTTAGAGGGATATGGGCCAAATACTGGCAAATGGGGCTAGATTTATTTAGGATATCTGGTTGGCATGGACGAGTTGGACCAGAGGGTCTGTTTCCATGGTATACATCTCTGTGACTCTGATTCTGTGGGTGGCAATGTACTTTGAACTGTGCTTTGAAATGTACTTTCAAGTGGTGGGGTTTCCATGCATCTGCTGCCCTGCCCTGCTAAAGTGGTGGAGGTTGTGGGTTTGGAAGATGGTGTTACAGGAGGGTTGATTGAGTTGTTGCAGTGCATTTTGTAGATTATACGTAGACAGTGCTGCCACCGTCTACCTGAGATGAAGGGAGTGAATGTCGGATGTGATGGATGGGCCAGTGGTCAAGCAGGCTGCTTTGTTCTGGATGATGTTGAACTTCTTGAGTGTTGTTGGTGCTGCATTCATCCAGGTAAGTGGGGAATATTCCAAGGCACTTCTGTCTTATGCCTTGTAGATTGTGCACAAGCTTTGGAGAGTCAGGAGGTGATTCACGTATTGCAGAATTCCCAGCCTCTGACTTGCTTTGCTAACCATAGGATTTAAATGGCTAGTCCAGTTAACTTTCAGATCTGTAAGGATTCTCAGCATTTTGAATGTGGGAGATTTGACGAAAGCAATGTCACTGAACCTAAAATGGAGATGATTAGTTTCTTTCACATTGAAGATGACCATTGCCTGACAATTATGTGGTACAGATGTTCTCTGCCACCTGTCAATCCAAGCCTGATGCTGAGAGGTTTTGTTGCTAGCAGCATGTGTTGCTGCATGATGCATAAATGAATGGTTAGTTATGTTATCGAGGGATGGCCATATTGAATTAAGTGAGGAAATAGTTTTGTTTATAATTATAAGCTAAGCAACAGATACTGAGCTTTATCATACGTAGTCATTATGGCTGGAGGATTGGTTAATCATATATCCAGCAGGTTTGCTGCAGCAGCAGTAACTAGATTGTTTGTAATGTATGATTACCAGACACATTACTTTCTTTTACTCACAAGATATCTTTAACTGGGTCTTAAAATATAGAAGTATTCTGAAATAAATTGTGTAGTTAAGAATGTGCATATTAATATTCTATTGTATGGATAGGATGGAAGCCATAATACAAGATAATGTAAATATACACATAGAGAAAAATAATTTAATACTAGACAGTCAACATGGCTTTGTCAAGGACAGATCATGTCTGACTAATTTGATTGAGTTCATTGATGAGGTAACACAGTCAGTTGTTGAGGGCCACTACTGTGGATGTTGTATACTTAGACTTTCAGAATTGATACAGTGGCTTATGACAGGTTTGTTAGCAAATTAGAGATGTTTGTGGTTGTTGGCTTGCCCATCTACACCTACCTTCTGTTTCCTACCTCTTAGCCAACTTCTAATCCATGCTGCCAAGGACCATCAGTCACAAACATTTCTGTAAGGTTCTTGTGAAGAATTGTAGCTCGGCTTGTGGACGAAGTTGTTGGCTTGCTCGCTGAGCAGGCTGGTTATCGTACAGACATTTCATCACCATGCTAGGTAACATCATCAGTGCAGCCTCCGATGAAGCGATGTTGTTCTACTCCGCTTGGTAT